CCTCCAGGGTTCCGGGATGGGTATGGCATGAGGTGCGGGGATAGAACCCAGGTCCATGAGCTTGCCAGACACTTAGATCCCCAGGCTGTCTTCCCACCCGGGGAGAAGATTCTTCTGATTAATATCTACATTCAGCTTCAAGGTAACAGTATCATGGCATGCTTTTATCTCAGAATTACTAATCTGGCCAGGTGTGGTGGCACACAACTGGAATTAGTGATTTAGGAGCTGAAGCAGGAGGATCACAAATTCAAGGACAAGCTGGGGAATTTAACAAGACCCTATCTAAAAAAAAAGCTGGAAAAAATAAAAAATTTTTAAAAAACTGGGGATATGGTCTTTGCCTTTGCCTAGCATGGGTGAGGCCCAGGGCCCAATTCCTAGTACTGGAAGGAAGAAAAAAAATTATTAATCTATCCTTTTTACTATTGCATCCTGCTGACTGGATCTGGCACTTAATCCATTTTGCTTTATCTTCACAATATTGTTACAGTATCTGTTTTGTTTCCTTAATTTTTCTAATGCTAATATCCTTTCTTCCTGCGAGCTCACCTGGCCTCTGCCCCACCCAGGAGTCACTCAGTCACTGCTGTAAGAGATTGTGAGAATTGTTCTTCTTTTTAACTTAGGCATACTGCATGATTTCATAACTATTTTGCTCTGACAGAAAATAGCTTAGTACCACTTTTGATATGCTTAATAGAGCTCTTTACTACTCCTTTTATGAATTAGTTCTCTTTTCCTTTATGTGAACACATGTGTGGTAGATAAGGCATGGTTCCTTCCTCTCTACCTTCTTCCTCTCTCCATTCTGCATCAGGTATTTTTTCTACCAAATTTCAGTGGAAATTTAGAACTTGTTGAAGCCACCAAACAGGTTTTTCTATATCAGGCATAGTCTCTTGTTGAGATACAGAGTCTTTGGTCTATTAATGTAGTATCTGGGACTTCATATAAAACACCTATAACTTTTTAAAGTTAAATCACTGTTGTCTTCTTTGAATTGTAGGATTTAATGAAACCTGGGACTTATGTCCCAAATCAAAACTCCATAATGCAGTAAAATCTTTTTACCCAGAAAAGATACCTGTTTGCTCCTCAGAATAAACTAGCCAAGATGTAGAGCCAGGATCAGCAAACTTTCAATGAGCTGTCAGTCAGTGTTGTAAGACCATACAGTTGCTGTCATACCTACCTTTGTAGCTGTAGCCCTGCCTTTGTAACTCAAAATTAACTGCAGGCAATATATAAATGGAGGAATGTGGTTGTGTTTTTGTATAACTTTATTTATGGACACTGCAACTTGAACTTTACATATTTTCATTCAGTTATAAATTAATTTTTGGTTGAAATATTTTAATCAAAAAAAAAGAAATATTTTAATCATTTAAACATATAAAAACTATTTTTAGTTTTTACAACTTGCAAAAATAATCAGCCATGGTTCATCATCTTATTTAAGAGTAAATTGTTTTCAGCTCAATTAGACAAATTATCTTTTCTCTGTTGACCAGTAGATTCTTATTCCTTACAACTGCTAGCTGTGAGAGTCTGAACAATGGCTATTCCTGCAATGTAAAATACTGTCATACTGTCCCAGTTCACATCATTGTGTGCCAACTGAAACCAGAGAGTTACATATTTATTAAGGATAAACAAGTACTATAACAGATTTTTTTGGAAATGGCCCCAAACTGTTGTCCGACTTATTTCTTTTTTTTTTTTTAATAACTTTATTGAGAAACAAATAGCAATGAGACAGTTTCAAAACTGATCAGTAGGGCAGTTTCAATAACAAATACATTGCACATTGTTGTCTTAGTGGTTATTTATTGTACAAGATGCAGACATGACATCCCAACCACAAACACTACTAGAACAAATCTTATTCATTGAGTTAAAAGAATGCAGCTTTGTATCTGTCCTAACTATTTTGAGTCTACAGATACAAAATGATCATTTGTAGCCCCTTTTTTTGTTTAGTCTTGTCAGAGAAAGGTATGCCATTGTCATTTAAATATTGTAGGTGCTTGAATTCAGCAAAATATTCCAATATAGTCCAGTAGTCCATAATAGTAGTGGGTCATCTGCAGGGCTGGCAATGTCAGAAGTTGATGACCTGAGCCCTTTATAGCCCAGCATACCAACATGGCTTCACCCTTTATACCTTATGTTTATACCTTTCTGCTGGATGGTTAAGACCAAGATAAAGCAAGACTTTACATAACAAGAAATGTAACTTTTGTATCTGATAAGGTCAGTGAAGTCTTCTCAGAATTTATCCTGAAACCCTGTACCGCACTTTGTAGATCCTTTGTCAGTGTCAGCCATATGGATGAGTCATGAACATTGCTTCACCATTTTGCTCTCTGTGAAAGCCTGAGAGAATGTTTTCTATCCATGTGACTCTCCTTAGGCACACTCTACATCATCAATCACATTCCACTTTGGCCTCATAATCTCCTTGATCAGAAAATTTGGGACACAAATGAATTACATGATGTTACAGTACAGGTTCTCCTATGTCCTGAGTCTTCACTGACCTTGAAAGGCTACAGCCAAAATGTTGGCTGACCTTGCAGCCCTTCTTTATCTCTAATTTTTGGTCTGCAAACAGGTTATTAACTCTCCAGAAGAGAAGCTTATTATTACCCTACAGCATACGCAGTTGGGTTTAACCTCACTATCTGTCTAAATGTCAGACATCTTAGGCATAACGTGGGACAGATATTTTCCATCTAGTATTAATATATTAAACTTTCAGTCTCTACAGAATATGGAGAAAAAAATTAAAAAACTAAAAAAAATATTTTTAAAATATGAATAAACAATTGCATGTTTTTACACAGAAATTTAGAAATGTTAACCGTATACAGCATTGTAGCAGGACAGTCCTGTGACGTTTTCTTTTCTAGTCTCTTTTTTTCATTTATTGACCTTTTTTTAAAACATTTACATGAGAGACAGTATGACAATAAATGGTATGTCATGACAAGCAGTATGTATTTAGAAGACAAGAATGAAAGGCATTCCAAGCATGACCCTACTATTACACATGCTATCTTCAGTGCAGTTGCTTAGT